CGGCCCCACACCCCCCCAAGGGACCCCCCCCCGCCGCCTTCCCCCGAGGCTTTCAAAGCCGCGGAGGGGCTCCGGCGGTGGGGCATCCGGCGTACAAGACGACCCCCGATTTTTGGGGGATGTTTTTTAACTTCAGAGGTCGTCTTGTACGCCGGAATATACGGTAATACTGAAGTATCTGCTTGGTTTCATTCTCCTTCTCCTCCTCCTCTGCAGTAGCCAGGTGAAATCTTAGAGGTTATAGAGATAGGTTTCTTCCTTCTCCTAAAATGCTACTTGCCTGTATGATTACCAGTACATCTAAGTACTTTGTTTTTTTATTAATCAGTGTTTGGATCATGGCGTTCCAGTCTCCCTAATAGCAGTTTGAAAATTTGTGTGCAACTGAAACAGTCGAAAATGACCAGCTAGTGAAAACCAGACCAATTTTGGGATACTGTGGAAGCAATCATGGGAATTTGATACCAAGTCCCAGAAGCCCAATAACTGTCCCATAGTGCACTAAGTATAGAACAGTGAATCTTGGGATACTTGCCCAGAATGCTGTTCACTTATTTCAAAATGTCATACTGTGTGGATGCTATATTTCATGAAAGAAGTAGTTTAAATCACTTCACACAAAACAATGTTGATGCACTCCTTTAGTTTAGTTATAACTGTATAATCATGGAGAAAACTATATTGAAAAAACTTCCCCTATACATGGGGCCTAAAGGCTCAATCCTGTGGGATTTTGATTCTCTTGAAAAGCACCTGAGACCCTTAGGCTATGTCTTCACTGCCCCCATTTTGCGTAAAAAATATGCAAATGAGGCATGTGGAATATTGCTGTGCCTCATTTGCATAATTAATTAGGCTCCATTTTTACACAAGAGGCTTTTGCACAAAACCCCCCTCTTGCTTCTGCATTTTTTCAGGAAGAACAGCTTCTGCGCAGGAGGGGAGTTTTGCACAAAAGCCTCTTGCGCAAAAACAGAGCTAATTAATTATGCAAATTAGGTGCAGCAATATTCCACGCTTTGCCTCATTTGCATATTTTTTGAGCAAAACGGGGGCAGTGTAGACATTTTGTAGAGCTTCCAAAGGACAGTGGCTCATATGGAAGTTGATAATATACCTGATTCTTCACTGTCTTTCACCTTGTGTGGTCATTTTTATGTATGTAAAATGAAGGTTGTACAGGTTGAACCTTTAAAATCCAGGACTCTCTGGTCTTGCAATATCCATGGTCCGCAGGACCATGAATATCGTTGGACCAGAGAGCCCCGAGCTGGGCTGGTGGTAAGGTGCCCACCCCCAATAGGGCCAACACGGACAGCACAGCCCTGACCAGGACTGGAGTCAGTGGGGCCAGGATTGCAGTCCTTGCTGGGGCTGGCACAGTGGAAACACAGTCCTAGCTGGGGCTGGTGGTGGGAGCACAGTCCAACCAGGGCTGGAGTCAGGTGGGTGCTCATCCTGGGCCTGCACTGTGGTGGGAGTGCAGCCCTGATTGGGGCTGGAGGCAGCGGGGCTGGTTCCTGTCCGGGGCTGACAAAGTAGGAGATGTAGCCCTGGCCAGGCTTGGCGCAGTGGGGGGGTTAGAAGCAACAGGGCAGGCGGCAGGGAGCACAGCTCCAGCTTGGAGAAGAGCCTACAGCTGGGAGGGAGCCTTGACCTCTCCTCATCTGGCCTACTCCATGGTTTGAGACCACTCAGGTCCTGAGGGTACAGAACCAGGGAGGTCCAACCTGTATAAGCTGTATATTGCTATCAATTTTGAATTACCAACATTTTTATCTCCTTTTCACTTAATCACTTTACAGATTATGAATAACCACACAAAGTACAAGGCAGCAGAGAATCCAGTTCAGTATATTTTTGCTTGACCTCAGAGTGTTTGTGCACAATTGTCAAGTTTTGTTCCTCAGCTATATTTAGTATGTGACTAGATGAGGGAATTTATTTCATGCTCTAAAATGTGTATGGGAGGAGTGAGAAAAATGGGGTTCACAAAAGCAGAAATGCAAGAACAATGATAGTTAAATGTTTCTATCAAATCAAGGAACAAGGAGGAACCCTTCATTTTCTGACTAATGTCTGTGGTAAAATTCTTGCAGAAATCTTAGCTGTGAGTCTTTTCACTTCTCACTGGTATTGTATTATTTCACTGTAGGTTGTATGTGTGTTTTTGTTTGGGGGTTGGTGGTAAAATATACAAACCAAATGTTTCCTTTCTCCCACTACTCTTGTAAACACCAATCTGCGATCCTCACAGCAGCCTCATATACTCCATAGTGTCCATCCATCCGTTTCTAATGCCTTCTGAGCTGGCCCCTCATGCACTGTGCGATGAGGAACACAGCCTCTTCTTTTCCCTATCTGCAGCTGGGATTGGCCCTGGAGCAGCTGCTCTCTGTTCTCTTGCCACAGTGGCCGTGATGGGTGAAAGGCATAAGTGCAGCATCTTTCCAGCAGAAATATTTTCTGCAGGGAAAAAAATTCTGCATAGCACATAAATTCTGCATGTGAACTGTGGCACAGAATTTCCACAGTAGTAACCATTAGGTACTTAAAAAAGTGAATATAAAATAGAAACCTTGCTATCTTTCACACCTCTCATATTTCCCAAAGTACAACAGTCATCCAAAACTGGCTGGCCATATCTCTCTGATTCACCTCCTAGAAATTATGTATCTTGGATTTGTCTATGGAACTGGCTTCATCTGAAGGATGAACCCACAATTGCTAAGTACTTCATAGCCATACCTATTTATTGTGATAAATCTAGTACAGCTAGGAGAGAATTCCACTTCAGTAGTGCAACTTTGCACTCACATGTTTTTGCATTTTTGTGTGCTGTAAGTGGTGATTTTGGTCCATCATATTTAAAAAAATTTATTAATGTACATCTTGTGGCTACATTAATGTACATCCCTTCAAAATATACAAGATAATTTTTGAAGACTGTATTTTCCAGAATATACTAGTTGTCTTACATTTAACTGCTGCTAATAACAATAATACATGCTTAATGTAAATAAAATTCACTGCTTTAAGTGTTTTACTTCAGTGTGAAGTGTATTCACTCTTACAAAATATAAATGTAAAAAGGCAGAAAAATATTGCTGTTTATGTGTTGGGGAAAAATAGATTGTGGTGCCAACCCAGGGGTAAAAGATCTGTTATTGAAATATTAGATTTTTAGAAATGTTTCTGAGGAAATAAATCATTTAAATTTTCTTCTCTCTTTTCACATAGTAATTGCTACCTCCATATAGTATACTCAGTGCCATCCACTTGCATAGAAATATTGACACTTTCATGAATATATTCAATTAATGTTTATTTTTATAGATACATATATTTATATCTGTTAAATGTATTATGTCATTAACACAGTTAACTTTAAACTGATGTTTTTGTGAAGTTATATCTATAGCATTTTCATTTTTTAATTTATATATAAATTGAGAAATTTCTCAATTTAAGTTCCCGTATTTGCAAACATGAGTGAATAACTTTCTGCTTGCTTCTACACATTTATTCACTCACGTAAGTATTTACAGAAGCAGAGTTATCTCATTATTTATCACTAACCAATATGCTGTGCTCCGTTCTGCATTCCCACAGTATCTAGTGAAAGAAGGTTTCACCAGGCACTGAGAGACGCACCAGTCTGTCGATGCGAGAGCTAAAAATGTGGCCATGATGTGTCAAATAAGGGAGCCAGTACGCTTTGGCGACTTTTGGGGGGCGATCTTTGTCAACATTAATTTCATCACCAAAACTTTTGAGTGTACATATACCCTAAGGGGGCACAGAATGTAAACATGCATTCCAAGATTTGAAAAAGAGTTAGTTGTCTCCTAATTCAGAATTAAACTCCATAATTGTCAGGATATGGGATACCCTGGCAATAAGTTGCATTTTTCTGGGATGGAGGGAGAGAGAGAGAGAGAGAGAGAAATTGCATTCTGTGATATTCAAGGTTAGAGCAATCATTTCACAAGAGGGATGAGAATGATGATAGGATAATTCTAATTTTGCTTCTTTCTTCATTCCTGAACATGACAATAAATAACAGAAAACAAAATTGTTTCTTGTTGCAGTCTTTATCCTCATCTCTACTCAAGAGCATACATTAATTTTAGAAATCCTGATGACATCCTTCTTTTTAGAGATCGCTTTGATGGCTATGTCTTCATTGATAATAAAGGTTGGACCACTTACATTTTTAAAAAATCTTAGTGCAACCTATTTATTACATGTTTGATTTTTCTGGAATTAACTTTTATAAACCTTTATCTTTTGTAGGACTTCAGAAGAGTAAGTATTTTTGGAAGTCTTTATTTAATATATAGTATTAATGTATTAAAATATTTAAACTAATAGTACCTTATTAAAATAGTTAAAAGAGCATCAAGACTGTAAAGTCAAGCACTCAAAAGTTAAGATATATCAAATTTAAATATGCCTGGGCAGTCTTCATTTTGCTTCTTTGTGCATTTGATATTGACTTTATTTACAGGGTCACATAGGATGTGTCTGCACTGCAGGGCTTAACTCAAGATAAGCTACACAAATTGAATTACATTAATTGCATAGTTTATTTCAAAATAGCTTATTTCAAAATTGGGAGTGTCTACACAGCACTTATTTCAAAATAGAGCACTCTTCCTCTGACTTCTTCCCTTTACTCCTCGTACAATGAGGGTTACATGAGTCAAAGTAAGAAGTCCTCCAGCTTGACAGTAGTTCAACATTATTTCAAAATAACTGCCTGCTGTGTACACGCGGACTAAGTTCGAAATAACGTTGCTGTGTAGACGTACGCAAACTGTTTTTTCCACATGACTTCTGCCTCATTTGATACTTAAGATGGTGGTGCTCACCGAGTAGTTTTTTGTATCCTTATCATTCAGCATATAGTCACGTGCCTTATTTAACACACCATCCAAACCCATTAATTTCCTGTTGGGCTTGTCTGTGGAGCTCACCACCATACTATGTGAGTGCTTCACAGACACTCATGAATTGATCTTTATAACATGGCTGAGAGAGAAAGTGGTATTGTTTTCCCATTTTATGCATGGAAAATGAAGGCCAAAATTCTCAAGTCTCCACTGTTTTTGGATGCCAAATTGGAGGTGCTTATGGCATTACTTTTCAGAGTACTTAGATTTTATTGTGCTTTATACATCCAGAACACAATTGCTATTGGCTTAAGTTGCAGTTGTAACTGATTAGCACTTTTGCAAGTCAGATCCTATGTGTCTCAAGGTGAGTATCAAGAAAGTGAGGGGCACACAGTGGATACCTGTGAAAAGCTCAGTTTATGTCCGTGGTCACCAACCAGTCGATTGCGATTGACTAGTCAATCACGGGGGCACTGCCAGTCAATCACGAGGCAGTGTTTCCAGCTTCCTCTTTGTTCCCCCCACCCGAAACAAGAAGCCCATGCTGGTGCTACAACCTCCTGCCCCTTGCAAAACTGGAGCTAGATCCAGCTTCCTGTGGTATGAGGGGGAAAGTTTTGAGGCTCCACACCAGAGCTGGCTTCTCAGGAAGCTTGCGCGCTGCTCCTCCCCTCCCCACAGCAGCACGTGCACTTTCTTGTCTTGCCTTCCCTCCCCTGTGCACCAGGGAGGCAGGTTTGGAGGGGGAGTTAAGATAGCAGCAGACAGGAGTGGTCTGAGGTGGGCTGTGGCAGCTGGCGCACCAGGCAGAAAGTGTAATCGGCACCCCTTCCTGCACAGCTGTCAATGGGCCGACATCATCATCGGGCGCCCTGTGACATCATCATTGGGCGCCATTGAAGGTTGGGCCCTAGGCGACGGCCGAGGCGTTCTATAGTCACGGGCCACCCCTGGCGGCAGAGGATCCGGAGTGGCTGGATTTCTTAAAGGAGCTGCATGTGCACTTCTTCCAGCGCTGCCTGCAGAACCTTCCCGAGACATAGTTGTCCCTAGAAACCCCCAGCTACTGGCCAAGCTGACCCTACCCCCTCTCTCCTAGCCAGACCCCGACCAGCACTCTGCCCCCTGGCCAGACACCCACCAGCACCCTGCTCCTGCTCTCTGATCAGACACACCCACCAGTACCCTTCTCCTGCCCCCTTCCTCCTGGCCAGAGACCTACCCCCAGCTTGTTCCCGTACCCTGCTTCCCACCCAGAGTCTGCCCCCTCATCCCTATTCCACTCATTGGCAGTTCTGTCCCACACAAAGAACTCCTCATTTTTGGCCCCACCTCAGATTCTAGGGGACCGCACAAAATCCACTAACCCTGGAATCCCAGAAGAGGTAATCTGGCCTGAGGCCTTGAACCTCAGTCCTACCTACTCTTCCTCCCCCCCCCCACCATCAGGCCTGGGGTGCCAGGGGAGTGAAGTGTCTCAGTTGGGGCCACATCAGTAAGGATGTTAAAATGTGGGTAGTTGACTAGTCGATGGAATTTCTGTCAGCTAGTCAATAGACACTTCTGTATTCCTCCTTTGATATGTACAAAGGAGCTCTTGTACATTTCAAAGAAGGAATGTGGAACTCTGCGTACAGCCCATGGCCAGTGGGAAGTCCCGCTGACTCCGGGCTGCACATGGCGTGCCTGCTTTGAAATGCACAAGTGTCCCCAGCTGATCCCGGGTTCTGGGAAAGTGCCGTGTGGAACCCTGGATCAGCTGGGGAGTCCCCAGCTGACCCCGGGCTCCACTGTGCCTTTGAAAGGCACAGAGGCAGCTGACCCTGGGATTCCCACGGCATTTCCCTGGAACCTGGGATCAGCTGAGGACTGATCTGGGTTCCGGGGAAATGCTGCGGGGAGCCCAGGATCAGCTGGGGAGTCCCCAGCTGACCCCTGGCTCCATGGCTGCCCCTTTGAAACGCTACCCCTTCCCCCCCCCCCCCTTTGCTGCCTCCATCAGATAGAGGCAGCAAAGGGAGGGGGGAATTGACTAGTCGACTAGTCAAAATACTATCCGATAAGCAAATGCTTATTGGATAGTTGACTAGTCGACTAGTCTTTTACATCCTTAGTCCTGAGCTCCTCACATCCCTAAAGTCCTGCACCCTCACATCCCAGTCTTGTTCCACTCCCCCCCCCCCCCTTTGCTGCCTCCATCAGATAGAGGCAGCAAAGGGAGGGGGGAATTGACTAGTCGACTAGTCAAAATACTATCCGATAAGCAAATGCTTATTGGATAGTTGACTAGTCGACTAGTCTTTTACATCCTTAGTCCTGAGCTCCTCACATCCCTAAAGTCCTGCACCCTCACATCCCAGTCTTGTTCCACAACACTCCTACACCACTCGCACACCGCAAAACTGTGCCCTAAGCCCATTATGCACCCAACCCCCCAGCTCTGAGCCCCTCATATAGCCCAACCCAATCTCCTGAGCCACCACATCCACAAGCTTGCAGCTTGCTCAGCATCCCAACCCTCCACCTGACCCCAACACTCTCCAGCCTGGAGCTCCCTCCCCAAGCCAGCATCCCCTTCGCTTCCTCCTCCTGCACCCAAATTGCCTCCCAGAGCTTGCACTTTTCATCCCTTCCCACACCCAAATCCCTCATTCCCACCACAGATCCCACCCCTCCTGTCTCAATCAAGTGAGAGTGAGTAAGGGCTGGGGATAGCAAGTAATGGAGAGTAGAGGAATGGAGAGGACGGGGACTCAAGGAAGGGCTGGGGTCTTGGGGAAGGGATGGGGTAGAACTTGGCTTGCCTTGACATTTAAAATGTGATTTTGGGTATAAAAAGCTGTAGAACACTGGTTTAAATAATTTGCCCAGTATTACATAGGAGCTTTGTGGCAGAGGCAGGAATAGAATTTATTTCTACAACTTCTTGAACTATAAGACCTTCCTTTCTCTTCCTTCAATCTCTTTCAGTACACTCCTTCCAAATTCAGTAACAAATAAGATGAATCATACAGACAACAACCTCAGTCACTGCACATCTCTTATCCATTCAATAATTTCATCCTGCAAACAATGAGGCTGGTGGCCTGCTTATAGAATAGTATGTCATCCCATTATTGAAGATTATAATGAGGTCAAATTAATGTTGTACAGATAACTTCGATTCTAGCATTTCCTAACTTTTGAGTGCTTGATTGCAATCTTAATGATCTTGTAATTTAGTGTATATCTACATGACAGTTGGTAGTGTGTATCTTCACCAGTACTCCCCTCTCCTCAAGTGTTAATCTTTCTATTCTCCAGTTCCTGTCCCACCTGATAGTCTTTCTGGCTATTGCCACTCTCTCCCTTGCTCCCGTTTCCCCCCAGACACAATCTGCATCTATCTGCTCCTCCCCAGCTCCTGTCCTTGCCCCATCTTGATTCCTTTTCCCTACCTACCCTGCTGCATTACATGAAGTTTTTTCCTCCTCATCCTTGCTGATGTCAGGTGGAACACTCAGAACACCAGAGAGACCATCTCCCTGCTCTCAATTCTGATGCTTGGTTACACATCTGCCCTGT